TCTCACGCGTACACCGTTCACGTGCGCCAGACAATCGAGTATGATACCGGCGAGAAGTTTAGAGGCAATATTGATTAAACTAATTCCTCTGTGGTTTTCACACGAGGATCTGTCACCTTTCTTGTATATCGGTATGATGACCGATTCACACCATTCAGTTGCAACCTCTTTTCTTCTCCCACGCTGAACCCAGGAGTTTTGTTAACTCCGAAATCAAGACTGAACCTCCCTCGTTAAAAACGGATTGAGACAGCTCGTCGGGGCCGGAAGCCTTATGCCAGTTGAGTTAACTTATTTCCCGGGTAACCTCCATTTCAGATGGAGGACTGATGTCAACTGGCACTATTTGCACAGTTGAATCGAATGAGGGAAAGTCTTGTGTCGAAGGGGACCAGCTGAACTGTGCCTTAAAAAATGTTCTGCCCAACGTTCAAGACGACGTTCCTGAATTTGAATCAGTGTCGTCAGACTCCTTAATTACCTCACTTACGCCTGCCTTCCTTGATCCTGTACTCCTAATTAAATGAAAAAGATTGCGACTATTACCGATAGCCATAGCGTTCTCCATCTCTCTGCACTTCCCTACCCACCACTTCTCGTGGTCATTTCTCATACTCTTGATGAGCTGGCGTTTAAGGGATTTGCGCGTTTTGTCGTATTTTGAATCCGAAGGAATGACTCTGCGAGCATCCAGCAGGGCAACCGAGGTCGGGGATATCCATTGTTTCTTATTTGATCGTGCACCAGAATTTGTCGTTGTTTTTATCGACGTTTGGATCGCTTCCTAGATTGCCGACCAGTGTTCACTGAGTCCTCCGACTGATGATTGACTTCCTTACCGTGCTCTGTTTACACGTGCTGGGCAAAGTTTGAAGAAGTTTCGCGACGGTCAGAGCATGGTGTAGTGTAGAGGTATGAAGAAGTTAGCCTCTGCGTTGGCTTTGGTTTGTGCAGCTCGACTTCCAGGCTGGGACCCAAGGGATGAGGATGCTGATGTCTCGAGACGCTGGGATATGTGGCTCAGAATAGATATCCGTGGCGCGATTGCTGTGCTGTTTATTCGGGAAACCCCGTTCCCCATAACCAAAAAATCTTCAAAAAGAGTACAGTGAAGTCATGAAAGTATCATTCGTCCGTTGTCCGTGTCCTCTGTTTTCCTCATTTTCATTCGATCTTTCTGTACCCCTCCATAACTTCATTATCATTGTTCTGCATTGGCTCCACGCTTGTTCTCAAGCCGGTGTTATATATATATATATATATATATATATATATATATACTGACTGCCTTCTGTAAAAATTGCACGTGACCTTACTGTCTT